TCTGCAGCATCGGCTCCCCCGGTGGCGCTAGCTAGCTCGCGCGCTAGCGGCTCAAATTGATAGGGCTGAGGGCCACTGTCTGCCTCCTCTCTCTCTCAACCTCCGGTGAGGACGGTGGAGAGAAGTCCTCCACCTCCCAACACCGCACAGAAGCTGTGGAGCTGGCGTCGCTGTGTTCACTCTCCATCATTGACACGGCCAATGCTGATGTCAAGTGTCACTCAAAGCTTAGACCCGCCCAACATTCACCCCCCCGCCTGTCCCCTTCAGCCCTCCAGGCTACGCCCATTTGGAGGGAGATTTTGAAAAGGAAGTGTGAGTGACGTAGGCCGTGAGGAGCGGGGGTGAGAACCACTTTAATCCAAAGAACTTTTTCAAGTGAAATCTCAGACCCGCGCGTTGGAGATTTATAACCTATGGGTTAACCTAATCCTGAGGTTAACTCATAAACACATCTAAGGTCTGTTGTAGGGCTGGGCGATATGGCTAAAAAAAAATCTCAGATTTTTCCACACCAAATTCGATTTTATTTAGATTTTTTTTTTCTATTTAAAAACAAACTACAACTGACATAGAAATAGATTTTCCTTTATGCATTTTAATCTAAATCCCCATGGAGCATAAGTGTAACAGGAATTAAGCCTTAAAACATGCTTGTAAACGAGATGGCTCTGTCATTGTAAACAGTGAAAATGTAGCTGAACAGTTTTCTATTAACTTCACTTACAGTGACACAATGCACCATCAAAATAACTTGAATCGCACAAACGAGGGCCATAGCAAATATATCAATCGTATTAGACATATGCATTATTTACATGAAATATCAAATTTTTAAAACTCATTACTCAAAATACAAATGTTATAACAGAGAAAGTCTTTTACCAAAGCCTCCTCCTTGGGTTTTCATGCTTGTTCTTTCAACTGTGCCCGAGCAACTGTGCTGTAGTACAACGCTCGGTCCAGCTGGTGGCGCTAATACTAACTTCCGTGACTACCGCATTGTGCGAGTTAAGTTTCCTGTTTACATTCTGCTACTGTAGCTAACAGCTACTGTAGCTAACAGATAGAGCATGGAAAACATTGTTTGTAACAGAGCAATGAGAGCAATGTGTGAGACGTGTCCGGAGCCTGCCTGCCTGCGTGCGTGTGTGTTTTGGCGATTAAATAAAGTCTGATTCTTGGACGTCTGAAGTGTTATTGCAACAGCACCATCTGTGAGAGCGAGCGTCAGGCCAGAGGGAGACTGTTGGCATTAGGTTAGCTTCAAAATGACTGCTCAACGCCATAGACTTGCAGTTAGCGTGTTAGCACTGTAGCTCTGCGTCGGAGAAAAAAAAAAATCATTTAAAAGAAATTACCCTAAACGTAAAATTCGAATTAATAATTAAAATCGATTTATCGCCCAGCCCTAGTCTGTTGAGATGTGGTAGGGAGCAGGTCTAATGACCCTGCTGGGGCTAATAACTCCTAAGTAACTCATTAGCATGTCAGACCTCATCTATAGTTATACATGGTTTTCCATCACGTGCTCATTACCCATGATGCTTTGCACGAACGGCATTTTGGGAGTCAAGCTTATATTGCACGTATCATTTGTCACTGATAATTTGTCACGGATCATCTATCCCCATGTCATCTAAATTCGGCCGACACTGACCGCGTTAAGTATATTGATACACTGGAGTAATCTGTGAGGCAAGATCCTTGGAGAATCGGGAAATTTGGATCCATATGAGACGTGACGAGACCAGTGCACTTCCCAGAAATGGGAACTTAACAGTTTTACAATAAATAAATCGTCATGATGTCCATCCATCCATCCATTTTCTTCCCCTTAATCCATTTCTGGGTCGGGGGGGTGGCAGTCAAAGCTGCACCCAGTACACATAGCACCAGCCCCTCACTGATCCTCCTGCAGGTGGTGAGTCCACAGGAGCTGAGATCTTTCAGTTGGGGCTTTGGGCAAAGTAGGGTTAAGTGTCTTGCCCAAGGACACAACGACAGCAGTCATCAGTGGGAGTCGTGAAGTAGGTCTTACGGTGGGCTCGAACCCACGACCTTCAGGCCCAAAGGCCAATGCTCTACCAACTGAGCTACTGTCGCCCCTGCATCATTGCATCATATACATCGTCATGAGTATATGATGCAATATTTCTTTCAGTCAATATTTTATTTTGAACAAAGCAGTTGATATCACAGGCCGCAAATCACTTCTGTCTACCACCCTTTCCCCTCCTCCCCCTCTCATTCATTTAGATGGGAGGACCGAAGCGCCTATATAGACTTAGTATCACAGTCAAATCGCAGCTCTGAATATAAACCACACATGCACAGATTTAGCTAGCTCTTACCTGTTATGAAATGGTCAGAACAGACCTTATAGTGCAGTTTTTCGGGGGTTAGGGTTGAATCCCTCTGGTTGATCCTTTTCTCCGTCGAGAGTCACTCCCCTGGCTCGTAATAGCCTTCGAAATGTCCCCACAATCTACGCGGTTCCTGCACCCCCAAACGATGCAGGCAGTCGGCATGTTTTAGCGAAAAAGTGATTTGGCCCTATTTGGTTAGCTACAACTAGCGGCGGCTAGACTCCCAAAATGGCAAACTGCGGAATTGTGGGTAGTGCAATTTTTCTCTAATTGAGAAAATGTGAAGGAAACATGAATGGTTTTATAATTTGGGCTTGAAAAAGTATTTGGTCTCCCTTTTATTAGACTGCAAAACAGTGGAAAACTACTAGTTAGGGCGTTGTTTTTAGGACATCGTCATAGATGCGAGACAAAAAAAATCTTAACCTGCCTCCTCTGTTAAGAGAAGGTTTGTGTTTCCTCACAAAAATGGCTTCTTTCACCCGTCTCTCAAACCAATTTTTGTCTAGAGCCAGAATTTTAACCTCTGTGTCGTTCACAGCCAGAAAGGCTCTCTGAGCTAACTCACTTTGCACCTGTAAATGATAAAACTGTCCAAGAGATAATCTCCAGTTTGAGCTCCTCCACATGCAGCCTGGATGTACTGCCCACTAGATTTCTGAAGTCTGTTCTGAGCAGTCTGTTACCTTCACTCACACAGATAGTAAACATGTCCCTTAATTCTGGAATATTCCCAAAGGCTCTGAAAACTGCAGTCATCAGGCCCCTGCTAAAAAAGAGAAGTCTCGATGCTACGGTACTTAACAACTATTGTCCCATCTCAAATCTGCCATTTATGGGGAAAGTCCTTGAGAAAGTTGTCTACCTACAGCTTACTAGATTTCTTATAATCAACAACTCATTTGATATGTTTCAGTCCGGCTTTAGACCCCACCACAGCACTGAGACTGCTCTCGTTAAGGTTACAAACAATATCCGGCTGAACACTGACGTAGGCAAAGTCTCAATCTTAATCTTGTTAGATCTAAGTGCTCCCTTTGACACTGTCGACCATGAGATCCTCTTACAGAGGCTAGAGGACTGGGTTGGCATCGCTGGCACCGCCCTAAGTTGGTTTGGGTCTTACCTTGAGGACAGGAAGTACTTTGTGGAGATTGGAAACTGTGTCTCAGATCATATGGCCCTGACCTGTGGAGTACCACAGGGGTCGATCCTGGGACCTCTTCTGTTCAATCTCTACATGCTGCCGTTAGGTCAGTTAATACGCAGGAACAAAGTTTCCTATCATAACTATGCAGACGACACTCAGATCTATGTCTCACTGACTGCAGGAGAACATGGACCAGTGGACTCACTTCTTCACTGTATCCAACAGATCAGTGAGTGGATGCAAAACAACTTCCTTCAGCCAAATGCAGACAAAACTGAAATGATTGTCTTTGGTCCCCAGAAACAAAGAGAGAGCGTCATCTGTCACCTACAGTCTCTCTCCCTAAAACCTTCAAACAAGGTCAGAAATCTAGGGGTAATACTGGACTCAGACTTAAATTTTAATAGCCACATCAAATCAGTAACATCAGCAGCTTTTTACCATCTAAAAAACCTTGCCAGGATCAAAAACATAGTGTCTAAAGCAGACTTGGAGATTCTCATCCATGCATTTGTCTCCAGTAGGTTAGACTACTGCAATGGCCTGCTCACAGGTCTGTCCAAACAGGCTGTAAAACAGCTGCAGTACATTCAAAATGCAGCAGCTCGAGTCCTGACTAGAACCAGGAAGTACGACCACATTAGTCCAGTTCTCAGGTCTCTGCACTGGCTTCCTGTGGCTCAGAGAATAGACTTTAAAACAGCTCTGCTTGTGTACAAGTCTCTCCATGGCCTCGCACCAAAATATATTAGTGACATGTTAGTCCCATATGAACCAGCCCGGACTCTGAGGAGCACAGGGACTGGACTCCTGTTAGTGTCCAGAGTCAGAACTAAACATGGGGAGGCGGCTTTTCAGATTCATGCTGCTAAAATCTGGAACAGTCTTCCTGAAGATGTGAGACAGGCCTCCTCTCTGACAATGTTTAAAACCAGGTTAAAGACAGTTCTGTTTAGCTGTGCATACAACTGAGGGATTTTATATTTTTAGCTTTCTTTTTAATGTTCTGTGATTATTTATGATTTTAATGCTTTCTTGTTTTGTTCTGCACTTTGAATTGCCTTGTGTATGAATTGTGCTATATAAATAAACTTGCCTTGCCTTGCCTTCACGGCGTGGTTGATGGCCTTGAGGTGGAGATGAACAGCCGATTATGGCCCACTAGAGTTTTCTCTACGATGTTGGTTTTTCGTTACCGTATAGTTTGTTTAGTTTCTCCAATATAGTGGTCAGTGCACTCCTCTTCACTACATTTAATTGAGTACACCACATTGCTCCGTTTGTGTCTGGGTGTTTTTCTTTGGGATGCACCAATTTCTGTCTTAACGTGTTGAAAGGTTTGAAATAAACATTTGTGGCTGATTGATTTTGAGGATTTTGTAATTCTTCAGACACTTTTGAACATACTCTTTGGCATTGTGTAACGTTGCTTAAATCCTTGACTGTGTTTTCTTTTACCATGGGCTGTGTGTCCTCCTCAGGGCTTTAGGAACAAGCCAAAGAAAACTGGCCATGTGAAGCCAGACCTCATCGACGTTGACCTGGTCAGAGGTACAAAACACCACGATATACCATTGTATTGCACATCTCATTTTCATGATTCATTTGGTTGGCGGGTAGATCTGACACAACAGCGCATGTTGTGTGACATGACTCACATTTAACATGCATACATTATTACTTTGACACACAAATGTGTGTGTCAAATCTGAAGTTATATTTCACTTGACTAACCTTATTTCAGGTCACTGGCTTTATGTTGATGTGACTGAGGGGCCTTGTGTTTCAGGATCAGCATTTGCCAAGGCCAAACCAGAGAGCCCCTGGACGTCTTTGACCAGAAAGGGCATAGTCCGTGTGGTCTTCTTCCCCTTCTTTTATAAATGGTGGATCCAGGTCACCTCCAGGGGCATCTTCTTGTTATTACTGGCACTGTATCTGCTGCAAGGTAAGTGTGCTGAAGGTGTTAGGCTAAGCTAATGTTCAACGGGCACAATATTACATTAGATTAATATAATGTTGAAATTGGACAATTTAATGTACAGTTGTTTCTTTGATAGTGTTAAGAATAATGAATTATGAACATGAAGAATTGGTCCTAAGATGTTGGATAGGAAGTCAATGAGCCTGCTATAAAAAATGTTTATTTTGGTTATTTCAAACAGGCACGGGATAAAAAAGTTTCTCCACTTGCCAGGTTGATAATAGCCGAATTTCTTCTTGACCATTGTTTGCATGTTTCCTGAGAAGGCTCTGTGAGAGTGCTCTTTCAATTCCGAGTGACTAGCCATTAGGAAAATCAGTGCTTTTTTTCTATAAGTTGTCCAAGAAAAAAACCCCACTAATTTCTTGTCCTTTGGGATTTCATATGCTGATTTGCTGAGTAAGAATGGTCCTCTCTTTTTCACTTTTTTGTTTTAAAATGATGATCTAAAGATTCCCCATCTTTGGGGAATCTAATTATGTACCCCAACCTTACCAAATCTTAGATCTTCATCGAAGGTAAGGCCATTTTTCATGTTGTTCTCCCCAGTGGCCGCTGCAATCCTGTACCTGAGCATCCCTCGGCCCCATGGCATCCCGGCCACAGAGGTGTTCGGGGCCATTTGGCTCATGCTGCTGCTGGGAACCGTGCACTGTCAGATCGTCTCCACCAGGACGCCCAAGCCAGTGACCAGCAGTGGGGGCAAGAGGCGCAGGTGAGGGAGAAAGGAAGGGCACATGTTAAACCAATCAAGCAGAGGTTGACACACAGTTGCTTGACACAGTAATAGTAGTAGCAGTGGTAAGTGTTCACTAATAGTAGTACTAGGAGTAGGAGTAGCGAGTAGGGATAGTTTTTGCATCAGCAGTAGATTCAGTAGTTGGAGTTGCAACAATAGTAAGTAGTAGTTTCAGCAGTTATAGCAGCACTGTGTTATTAAAGGTGCCATATTTTGCTTTCTTCATTTTTCAGTCCATCCTATGCACATGTGTGATAATAATTTAGGTGATACATACAACACTCAAAAGATGTCAAATTATAGCCATTTTGTGCATAGAGGTGATGTCAGCTCATGTGAAACTCTTAGATCTGTGCTCCTCTGTTTGTGTGCCCGCCCATGCGCCTGAGAATGAACATTTTCCAACAATGGCAACCCATCATAAAGAGTCCTATGTCCTCGATCCGGAATCAGAACCTAATAATTTAGTTTACCGAAGTTTACAGTTGCATTGTGCTTATAGATGGGAGCTACCTGTTAGTGTCTTTTATGTTGGGAATAACACCAGGTTTCCAGATCAGCTTTTGAGTAGATCCCGTTTCAAGGTAACCATAGTTCTGAATCAGTCCCCGTGAACAAAGTCGTTCCCCATTCGCCTCATTCTCCGTCTTTGGGCCAAATACTGTTGTCACATATTTACACCAGCAACACATTTTCTCCAAGTTGACATGAAGCTAATACAGAAAAGCACAGACGCTTATTCGCCGTCTATGAACCAGACGCTGGACTCCGAGAGAAACTGCATGGGCTGATCATAGACGGCGCTGATTCACTGGTTCAGTTTCTCCCCGCTGTCAATCATCTCACGTCACGATTTGAAACGAGCCGTTTCTGTGCCTCTCGAGAATGAAAGAGAATCAATGAAAAAAACTACTCTGGGCATGTGTATGAAGGCCAAATAGCACTGTAATCAACCAGAGAATAGTAAAAAAGCGTAATATGGGTCCTTTAATAGTAGTTACAGATTCAGAGAAGAGATTGGCCGTCTTTCATCTTATTAGAAAATATGTCAAATAACTACAGAACATGATATATTTTTCATGAGCAAAAGTTAATATTGTGACCTTCTGGACTAATAAAGCCATGAACTTATTACATGCAAGGCCCATAGTAGTACTCAGAGTACTCTTTCTAATCTAGCTGGATATTGAACTTGTGAGAATGTTTTCTTGTCACAGTAATTACATGAATGAATGCAACCCGTGGGTGTTTATGTTTGATTTGAAATTCAGCTTCTTTGACTCAAACCAAAGAAGCACATTTTCATCACAGATTTGTTAAGGGAATTCAGTGAATTTGCAACAAGGTCTGTGATAAATGTTTGAGCTTGTAGATAGAGGGCTGCTGTGTTGGCTGTGTAGCTCTGCGCTCCACTGGGCCTCCATGTGTTTTACAGAAGAAACCACAAATTTACAAATTGGGTATATGGCCCAGTTTAGGACAGCCCCGTTCCCTTGTCTACTTTTCCTAAATACATTGACCATTGTTCATTTATTTCACATACCATATTTGATTGTACAAATGTTGTCCCTTCTCGTGATCATGAGTACTTTGGCATTTTTTGTATCTGTGTGGAAAAGATATGTGATGAAAGCAATTTTAACTGGTTTGTATGGAGACAATATCAACTCCAGGTCTGATTTGGGGAGGGAACCAAGCTGTAACAGTGAATAAAGCTTGTGCTTTTTCCACATGTTGCTAAAAGACACAAGACCAAAATCATCATCTCTTTTAAAGTTTTGAATCGTCTAACTTGATATCAGGAAGTCCTGGCACACACGTTTCCTTCTCCCTTTTGTCCAAATCCTACTCTTTCAAATTTGTTCATCACTTGGTTTTTGTGGAGATTTTCCATTCAGGTGACGTCCTTTAAAAATGTGTTGAAAGAGATACATATTATAACAGTTGGAACAGATAATATCTGTTCCAACGTCTCATCCGTAAACTTGATCAGCTTTACTGAGTCGTGGCTGGAGGTCCAGTGGTTTATGTACAGGGAGAAGAGCAGGGGAGAAAGAATACAGCCCTGTGGGGCTCCTGTATTTATAATCATAGAGTCCGAGACATTCTTCCCCAGATGCGTGCACTTCTTCCTGTACGTCAGGAAGTCAGTGATCCACCTGCAGGTGGAATCAGGCACGTTGAGCTGGGAGAGCTTGTCCTGGAGCAGGGATGGCAAGATGGTGTTGAAGGCAGATCTGAAGTCCACGAACAGGACCCTGGCGTAGGTTCCCGGGGAGTCCAGATGCTGCAGGAGGAAGTGGAGCACTAGGTTTGAGTACAGATCTGTTGGCTCTGTAGGCAAACTGCAAGGGGTCCAGGAGTTTCGTAGGTGAAGGATATAAGGTGGAAGAGGACCAGGCGCTCACATTATTCCATAACTTTCCAGGTCAGTGCCACAGGTCTGTAGTAATTAGGTCCAGTGATCCTTCTTGGTGACAGGGACAATGATGGATAACTTGAAGCAGGCCAGGATGTGGCATGACTCCAGAGAGGTGTAAAAAATGTCTGCAAAGACACAAGTCAGCTCACTAGCACAGTGTCTCAGATTGGAAATTATTGAGCACTTATTAGTGTCTTTCATATTTCCAGGAGATTTGGCTGACAAAAAAGGAAAAGAAATTAGTTCCATGTCCATTTGTTGGGTCCTTAACGTCTATGTTTACAGTATCTAACCTTGCCATAACCACCACCATTTGCTGGAGTAGAATAGTTTGGCCAATGGCATGGGAGCTCCATCCAATCAGGAAGCAGTGGAGGTGAGAATCTATCTGGTGCTTGCTTTGAAAATATATGTCCTTTCCACAATTCAAAAAGTAACTCACATTCACTTTCAGGAGTTAGCTGTTACGCTTGCTTTAATAGAACATGTATAATAAATGATTTATCATTGTAAAAGATGAAATGCCAAAGTGAATAATCTCATGATCACGTTTAAGCTCCAATACTATACACCTGTTCTGTAAAGGGGCGTGTCCCAGCTCATGGCAGAATCAGTGACTGTGCTTGTGTGCTCTCACCCTGTCCTGGCTGAAGGAAGTTGAGGAAGGCCTCTCAGATGGAGGCGCATAGGGAAGGCGACGGCTCTAGCACTACCGATAACACACAGGAGGGAGCGCTGCACTCGCACTCGCCCAGCTCGCCCTACAGCCTGGCCTCTCTCTTCCACCGTTTATGGCATGATCTCTGTAACGCTGGGTGTGTATTTTTTCAGTTTCCCTTCTGTACTCAAGAATAGGCATGGGACAATTCTGCCTTTTTGTGACGCCATACTCTCGGTCAGAATAATTGCGGGTTCACCCTTTTACCGTTTTGGAGCTAATATGTTTTAACAGCAATGATTTGGTGCTGTTTTAGCTCTACCGGAAATATATATATATAAAAAAAAGTCTTACAACTGATTGGATTAAAAGTGACAATGAGATTCACAATAATTATTATGGTTTATTGTCCCATCCCTAATCAAGAACTGTACAAAGATAAAGTCGGAGCTCAGTTTCACAAAACGTTAAACACATTAAATGTATGGTAGACATGTACAGTATAATATAGGATAATGTCAATTTGTATTGGATGACTGAAACTGATCCCTGATTTTATCTTGTTGAAATTGTCTTTTACCGCTGCTACATCACTAGTCACACTATTGCATTGTAACAAATTTCAGAATCAAAATAATTACAGCAATAATTGTTCACACTTGGCCAAAACATTTCATTTTCATTTTGGTGGAAACGATACACAACAGCCAAGTCAACTTGAAGGCCTGTTGATCTTCCAAAAGCCATTTCCTATTCCTTCTTCCTCATTGGCTTTTGGGAAATTCAAATATAAAGAGTGAAGTTGTAACAGGGGCTATGGGGAACTCTTGAAATTACATTTTGAGTGAAACGGTGTGTTACACTGTTACCATCCCCTTTAAATGATGGATATTGTGCAGGGTCGATGAGAAGAATCAATGGGACATGTGACCCACAGTGTGTGAGACTGATTATGCTTTGCTTTTGTAGTAGATTGTTGCATGCATGATAGAAATATACTTTCAGTAGCAGTCTGTGGTCTCAGATACGTAGATTCGAACTTCAGGGATCTGTACTTCACTTTCAACTTTTCTCTGATCAAATCTAAATCTTTAATCTTCACATTTCCCACGCTGAAACAGGGTTCCCTCTTAACATCTAAGCAGTAGCAGTTGAACACAACCACAGCGTGGGAACCCTGTTACCTTGATATAAACCTGCATTCTAGATCAGGAACAACAGACGCTTCATTGTGAATGCATTGTTTATAGACCCACTGCAAAAAGAGAATATCCATGTCAGCCCAAATGACTTGAAGTATGAATCATAACTGGAGCTGAAATCAGGAAGAAGAGTATGTTATTGAAACACTGTTCTGTGCCAAACAATTGGTGTAGTCCTGTATTTATCCTGTATTAAGTGTTATGATTAATTAAACAATCATTTTACACCTGTAGTTAAAAGCTCATCCTGTGCATACACTACAGGTGCATCTACTGCTGAGGTCAGCTGTCTCAAGGAAATATCTTGAGATATTGTGGGACACAGAGTATATTTAGAACAGTTGACCAAAGATGAGCTGTCATTCATATCAAAGTTTGACATGTCTAATGATGGGACGCAGAGCGAGCTCTGTAAAAAGCCACTGCGTACCCATGACTTCTTCGGCTGCATTCAGTGGCTTCTGTCATGGCTGCAAGACTTGCTTAGTGTGGTCTTAGATGTCTTGTGATGTCTTTTTTCCACCTCTTCCTGAAGGACATTCCCAAATCTTATGAGAGTAAAACATTGTGCAGTGTACGCCTAAAGCTTAAAGCATGGCCTCTTGAGCTCAGTGGTTGATTGGAAACGTACTAAAAGTACTAATCAAAATTCAAGTCATTTGTCACAGATGTTCCCTGTTTGCAGTGCCACGTCTGTTCTGTCACTGAATCCTTAACGTTGTGTCTCTCATTTCACACACATCTGTGTTTCCGACCTGCTCCTCCGCCTTGGCCTCGCTCCCCTCATCAGATCTAAGAAGTCTAAGCTCTCCATCGACAAGTCCACAGAGACAGACAATGGTTACGTGTCATTGGACGGCAGGGTGACCAACCGGAGCAGCGAAGAGGGACTTCAGCTGCTGGAGCCGCTCTGTGATCCGCTGCCGAGGACCGAGGAGGCGTGCTGGAACTCACACTGCCCGCCCCCTCACGCACACACCCACACGCCACGCAGCAACGGACTCATGCTGACTGCCGCCAACAAGGTACACAGCCTCGTGGTGAGACAGACTCATGCTGATCAGTGCCAACATCGACTCAAATAAATTTGTTTCCTTATCATTTCCTTTCATTCACACTTTAATCATTACACAGAACTACTGCATGCATGGTGGGATAATCGTGTTTTTTCACACTCTGAAAAACACATGCTTTTTGGTTTGTCTCTAAACTGACAAACATTCACTCATCCTGCATCAACGATTGTTGTCTTATAAGCTAATACGTGAGAGAAATAATCATCCTTTGTCATTTAGTGTAATTTAACTAATTAAAAATGTTTTTACGTTTATGTTCTTACTGGTCTGGTATAGTATGCTTTTCTCTCATTCTCAAATGTAGTGAGAATGAGATGGTGATGGTTCTGTTCTCATGGATCTCTTTGTTACACATTTGTAAAGTGATTCCACAGGTTTGGAGGTATTCGTGCAGCTTCTCACACGGTAACGAGCATGTGTCGTGATCAGAGCAGTAAAAAGTGCGAGGTCTCTGGTCAGATTTGTTCTTGTTATTGATTTAAAGGGAAGTTAAATCTAATGTGCCACCTATGTAAGAATATTCAGTAAAACATTTTCAGTAACTTTTTGTCATTTACAGAAAAGCATTTGGGCAATTTGTTATCCTACAACGTTTTTAAGAAAACTTTGCAACAGTCAAACAATTGGAACTTTTGAGACAAGCTTTTTATTGTCTATTCTAGGTCAAACAGGAGATTTTCTATTTCTATTTTCTAACACATTCTCTCTTTTATAAGATAAATGTTATCAATATTTTTTGCATTCTAAATGTGCATTCAAAAATAAGAGTAAAGTGCCCTGGTCACATTGTCCTTCAGAAACATTACAGTACAGATTACTTATGGTCTCCAGTGCCCCCTCCCCTTCACACCGTACTGCCTCGGCCTCCAGCCTCATCATGCCGTCTTGTTGCAGGAGCCCGCGTCAGATGAGGCGTCCAGTGAGGAGGACCCAGAAGTGTCCTACAGCGGCCTTCGCAGGGGAGTGACCGGCTCAGAGTGCATGCTGCGCAACCGAAAGAGCTCCCACCACTACAAGAAGCACTATTCTGAGGTCCTGCCTCTCTTTCTGTTCAGCAATCCTGCCTTTTTATCAAGTATTTACTTACAAGCTGCGCCAGTCTAACCCATGGATCTATAATAATAACTGGATAGGGTATTACTAGCTTACAGCTGTCCCACCTATGTGCACAGGGGGCGCCCGTGGTACTGAAGACTAAATTCACGAGGGCTTTTGTGGGGATTTTAGTGTCATCCTGAACTTTTTTTCTTCTTAAATCCTTCGGTTTTCTTTAAATCCACACTTTACTGCCACAAACTCTGCTCCTTTCCTTCCCGCTCTGGCCCCGCTCTTCCGCTGCTCTGATCAGCAGCTCTGATTGGTCAGAGCGCAGCCGAGCCCCTCTGTGCGCATGCATGAGAGCCACACACGCACGTTTGGTGCGACGCATCATTGGAGGTAATCCACTGCGCAGAACCGGGAGGACCAGACGATGCCCAAATATAGGCGAGTTCGCTAATCTTTCGGTCGCCATGAAGTCCCATGCGCTACTGAGCACAAGCCATTCATTTGAATAGGGCGCCATCTTGGATCACCGGGGGCTTGGTCTAACCGGACACTATATGTGACACTTGCCATAACAAAACTGTTCTGTGCCATCTTTAGTTGACTACTGGAGAGCTTCTTGAGAGTCATTGCTTTAACTACTTGTTTTTTTGTTTTTGTTTTGTTTTTTTTAATTAAATTCACATTTATTCACAGGACTAATGGATGAAACAACAGTCAGCACGTCCTACAAGGGTTGTGTGTTCTCCAGCTGTTTGACCGTCAGCAACATAACACAACAAATTATTGTATGAAATTTTCAGAAAATGGACGGGGAACAAAGGATTTAATTTGGAAGTGATGGATCCAGAACTCTTTAAAGGAATGGTGCTGTGCCTCTTGGCAGAGGGCTACGAGTGCTTTTCCAGAATATGTGTTACAATAATAATAATAATAACTTGTATAGTGCCTTTTTGGACACTCAGACGCTTTACAAAACATAAAATGTTAAGTGCATTTGGAGCTTGTACATTATGTAGTCAGACATCACACAATATATTTGATGTCTGACTAGTGTATGGTGCTTTGTTCTCAGGATGTCCCAAAATCAGGCACCAGCTGCAGTTCTCGCTGCTCCAGCCTCCGCACCCAGGATTCTGAGAGCACCAGGCATGAGTCCGAGACCGAGGACCTGCTGTGGGAGGACTTCCTGCACTGTGCGGAGTGTCGCTCCTCCTGCACCTCCGAGACAGGTGCTCAGACACAAATATATTATTCCTTTTCCATTCAACTTCTGTGTGTTTCAGTTTTGGAATCATAACATAGATCTTGCAATGAATTTAAGAAGGAGAAAAGGACATATGATGACACAGCACATCTCACTCATAAATGCAACAAATGTGCTTATTAGACCTATTCTCAAATCAAAATGATCAAAACAAATCGTAACTAGAATTGTACCAAATAGAGACGCCAGTGTGTAAAGATCTTGATTCGAGCATGTCCCGGATGTAGACCTTATCCCCTCAACCCATTGACTTTAAACTGCCTGTGCCTGAGTGAGATGCAAGTGTTAAACATGAGCCCTCATAAGGACTGTGGGACAAGTCCTCAACCTGTGATATGTCCCTAATAAGCCAATCAGGAGCCTTGTTCTCTGTCCTCACACATGACTCTCAATGAACTGACCTGAGGATTCATCCGACGCATGGGATAATAATATAAAATGCCTTTTTTTCATGCTTTTATTGATGCAGAGGGAGAAGGAACCGGGACCCCTGTGTGTGGACCCTCTAAGAAGGAGTACAGAGACGACCCTTTCCACCAGGTCTTCCACACTTGCACACACACGATGCCCTTTTATCCATGTTACAACATTTTTCCCTCTTCAAAAACAGACAAGGGTATTTTCCTCAGAGTATGACGGAGCATTTATCCCTTTTAAAACCATGACATTTCCTTCAAATGTGCTTAAAGCTCAGACATCACAGGTTCAATCCCAGGGAATTCTGCGTGTGTACAAGATTACCTATTGCTTCCTGTGTCTGAGTGGGTTTCCTCCACCACCCAAAACATGCATTATAAGAACATCTTGCAGGGAAGATCCTGACAAATATCAACTGCAGGATGTAGATGGGTCACTTTAGCCTGAACCAAGCCCAGGGCCTCTGTCAGCAGCAGTAAAGAATGGGTCAAATGCAGACGACACATTTCTTCTAATGGGACAATGACGTACACTTTAATAGTAATGAATGTATGTTTCCCACTGTCTCTAACCATAATGGGATTTTGCCATAATCCAACTGTCGGTGTATAACCTGAGGCTCAGAAAAGCAAATGGGATAACCCAAACATGTGTGAATGAGTCCAAACATGACTCCAGGTCTGTTTTTGTCTTATGAGAACAGGATTGGAGCATAGTGAACAGTTCTGCATCGCTTGTGTCCTGAACCTTTTTAAACGCGTGGTGTGCACAGGGTCATGTTCCGTGGCTGCACAGCTCCAACCCAGGCCTGGAGAGAGTAAGCGCCATTGTGTGGGAGGGCAACGAGTGCAAGAAGGCCGACATGTCAGTGCTGGAGATCAGTGGCATGATCATGAACAAGGTGAGACTCCATAGAGAGGCCAGGACCACCACAGGAATGATCACGATTCACAGATGAGTCACAAATGCATTTACGCAATGTGTTTTCTTTCACCAATTGTAGTCCTAAATCTACTCAAATGTAATTTTTTTGTATTCCTTTTTTAAAAAATTTTCTGTGAATTCTGAACATTGAATTAATTAAATTCACCATCAATTAATAACAAGGTGTTTGTATCAAGATGCATCATGATCAGGGTGAATATTGGACCGTACCGTTTGTAGCTGATGTATTGAGACCCACGAACGCCTGGGTTCGCATCACGAGTGGAGTTTGCATGTTCTCCCCGTGTCTGCGTAGGTTTCCTCCTAGTACTCTGGTTTCCCCTACCACTAAAAACATGTACAATAGGTCTGGCATGCGCCTCCTGTACTGGCGACCCCATGGTCTCTCACTCTGTGTGGAGTGAGAGACAAATGCCCACAATTGTAATCTGCTTTGTGACTCTAGTCTGTGAAAGGCGGTAAATAAATAAAGATTACTTACTTACTTACCAGAGGAAGAATGTCAGCTTGACTGTACAAATGGGTGGCCACACTAAACAATAAATAGATACATATTATCTAAGCACATAGGGGCATGATATGAGGCATGATATATAATCTATACAGTATGAACAAGTCTCTCTATGAAGTGACTTGACGTTGTGTGTGTGTGTCTGCAGGTGAACATGCACACTCCAGGCATCGGGTACCAGGTGTTTGGTAACATGGTGTCTGTCACTCTGGGCCTCACGCCGTTCGCCTACAGGTCTGTGCTCTATACAAAACTTGACACTCATTAAGTATGAAATGCTGGAATGAGACTCAGGCCTTGTGCTCCTCCCTCAGGCTGGTGCAGTCCCGGGACATGGAGCATCTCACCTCTCTCTCTGGAGCAGAGGTTCTGTCTGTAGCCTTCGGGGTTGGCTCTGGGGGGGATGCGCTGGTCTTCACCATGGTTATTCTCAGCTTCCTGGTGCGCGTCTGCCTTATATGGCTCTTTTTCTTTCTGCTGAGCGTCGCGGAGAGGACGTACAAACAGGTGAGTGGCCAATACTGATCTGCTGATCTATACAAAATTGACATTTTTGTGCTTTTAACCATGTTATTAGATTATTCCTCATCAGTGACCAACCTGGAGTTGTTTGTAGATCCTCCCACGCTAATATCAGGAACTTCGCCCACAAAACTGCTTTTGTCTCGGTCCTGTTATGTCATTGTAACACCATGGCATCGTACTCGCAGCAGTTTTTAAGTGTTGGCCATAAATTATGTTTGGCAATGAAATGCCATCAAATGCCTGTGGTCATTTTAAAATTTGGGGAAAAAACAAACTACACCTCCCTATGGTGCTATCCTTGATACTTGTTTCTCCTTATATTTTCTCCTAAAGATACATTTTCACATTTGAAAACATGACATTACAAAGTAATTGGTCAATAATTTGTTAATACTAAAAGTAATGTGTTGAATATTGACGTGTGTATGAATTCCTTTGGGTGTCCAGAGGCTGCTATTTGCAAAGCTGTTTGGTCACCTGACGTCGGCCCGCAGAGCCAGGAAGTCTGAGGTGCCTCATTTCAGACTGAAGAAAGTCCAGAACATCAAAATGTGGCTGTCTCTGCGCTCCTACCTCAAGGTGCAGGTCATACTCTCTGTCCCTCTGCTCTCAGTCCTGACCAGGAGTCTGACCATTGACTGCAAATAGATGGACAATGCTAACCCTTCAGCTTTGTGAAGCCCTATCGGGAAATGTTTGTTGAAAAGCTTTGCTTCAATTGACTTGCAATGTCAAGTAAACTCCAGCTCAGTAATCATTAGCACTCTCAATGGTCTTTGTGTTAATTTTGTTTGTCTATATGTAAATCCAAATATGAGCCATAATGACCAATCAGAGGCCTTCCCTTTTCGGGGGTAAACCAAAATAAACATTTGCACCTGCCCCTGCGACAAAACTGTGGATCACACCATCGTCACAAATGCCCATATAAGGACGTATGCACCAGCTACAGTGGGGTAAAAACGTATTTAGTCCCTCTTTTTAAATTCTCCCTCTTAAAAAGAGGAGGGAGGCCTGTAATTTTCATCATAGGTTTACCTCAACTATGAGAGACAGAATGAGACAGAATTTATAAAGAATTTCTCTTTGCAAAATATGGTGAAAAATAAGTACTCGTTACCTGTAATAACGGCTCCTGTTTGAACTTATTATCAGTCTGATAGACACCTGAAGACAAACTCAAACAGTCACACTCCAAACTCCACTATGGCCAAGACCAAAGAGCTGTCAAAGGACACCGGAAACAAAATCATAGACCTGCACCAGACTGGGAACACTGAATCTACAATAGGCAAGCAACTTTGACATCAGCATTCAACTAGTCCACTCCTAAAATACAGTCCATGACCCTGACCCTGACCCTAACGGCAAGGGCAGTGAGACCGCTGTTACTGGCCCCTGACCTCTGTGTCTTGTGCCCGCAGAGACGAGGCCCTCAGCGCTCTGTGGACGTCATCATATCGTCTGCCTTCCTACTCACGCTGTCTGTGGTCTTCATCTGCTGCGCCCAGGTACACCGCAGGCCGTTTTCAGCTCCTCAGATCTATGTCCTTGATGTCTCTACTGGGAAAGATAAGACATGACACGCCTCTGTCTGCCAAATATGATCATCTATGAACCCTCTGGCTCATCAGATTCCATTGTTGGTGTTTGGTCTTATGTTGGTGATTAGGAACAATAACAAACAGTGGTCAAGGCTGAGGCATAGTTATATAAACAGCTCCCATGCTTTGAACTAAAAGCAAAATGTGATGTATGGCTCAAAAGTAAGTAAGTAAAGTTTATTTTTGTATAGCCTTTTGACAGATCAGGATCACAAAGCGCTTCACAATTAAAAACATACAAACTAAAAATAACAAATCCTGCTCATCGTTATCAGTGCACTATCCCTGTGTGTGTGTGTGTGTGTGACCGTGTATACATTTTAAATCTCAATATAAAATGATGTACAAAAGAAACAAGTTCAATTCTATTCAATGTATTCTTATGTAGCCTTAAATCACAACAGCAGTCATCTCGAAGTTGGGGTATCTCTGTATTCAGTTGTTTGACTGCGAGTGTAAAGAACATGTGTGTGTGAGTGAGTTCCCTCCGTGTGCTCCTCAGCTGCTGCACGTGCACGAGACCTTCCTGGAGTGTCACTACAACTGGGAGCTGGTGATCTGGTGCTCCAGCCTCAGCCTGTTCCTGCTGCGCTTCGTCACGCTGGGCTCCGAGACCAGCAAGAAGTACAGCAACACGTCCATCCTGCTGACCGAACAGGTACACACACACACACACGCACACATGCGCACGCACAAACACACACAAGCACCTGAAATAATCGTTACTTGTTTCTTATTGCTTGTAGTTTCTCAAATTGTGTATTTTCTGTGCTGGTGCTGGGAAGTAGTGGGTTTGTTTTGTCGCTACATTTGTGTGTGTGAGTATTCATCCTACGATAAGTTCAAGAGAATAAGTTGAATGCATTTATTATACTAATTTGTTCCTTCATTTATTTCAACTTTTACAGCAGATACAGATTTTCAGAATAGATGAAATATCCTGTCTTTTTCCTGAGAAATTAAAACGTTTCACTTTTTGAAATAAAGTGAATGATAAATGAAATAACAGTATTCGCTTACAGTTAGTTTTTCAGTTTTGCAAACCATGTAGAGATGGTTCATCTCATGGGGCTATTCCTCTGATAATAGAAAATAAACTGTGAATGAATAAATAAATGCCAACGCCCATGGAGCTCTTTGCAATGTACACACTGAGAAAAATTCCCAATTATATAAAATAACAAATCTAAAACGACGTCTGTCTGCCCCACAGATCAACCTGTATCTGAAGATGGAGAAGAAACCAAATAAGAAGGAGGAGCTGACTCTGGTCAACAACGTTCTCAAACTGGCAACCAAACTGCTCAAGGTACAAGTCACTTTATATAATAAAATAAATACAGACGCCGAGGTCTGGACAGCTTTTCATTGTAATCAATCAACTTTGTTTGTATGAGCCTGAAAAGTTACACCAGCCGTAAATTACGGTTGTCAATATGTACAGAATTTCTTACCTTTTCAAAAGTATGCAACTGCATTGTTAAGGGTCAGGGTCTCATCACGGGACAGATCCAACCTGACGTCCGCAGCACGCCACTACAGAATCAGTAGCAGTCAGAGGGGCCGCTCCTTGACCTTTAACCCAACAGTCTCTCCCACTGCTCCACGCCCTGATACAGTCTGACCACAGAGCGTAGGTCAGCCTGGATCACCTGCGTCCCGCTCCTCCAGACACATGTTCATGCACTGTTAACCGTCTTTTAAATAACCACAGATAGTTTCAGCTGCTGTCGGTTATTTGTTAAATGCTCTTGTTACGCCTAGATTGTGTTTTGTCAGAACAGATTGGACGATGATCAGAACAAAATCATGATGAAGTAGCTCTAAAAGTCAGTAATGTAAAGTTTGTGTGTGTAGGAGCTGGACTCTCCGTTCCGTCTGTACGGCCTCACCATGAACCCTCTGCTCTACAACATCACTCAGGTGGTCATTCTGTCAGCAGTGTCTGGGGTCATTTCTGACCTGCTGGGATTCAACCTCAAGGTACACACACACACACACACACACACACACACACACACACACACAGCGGGCCGAGTAGAGTAGGGCCAAGTAGTGCTGGTGGAAACGTGGCTTTTTGTAATCTTATAGATGACGAGATTTGAGGAAACTGTTGGTTCACGATCATTCTGCTAACTGCTGGTGTATGTGTCTTACAGCTGTGGAAGATCAAGTCATGACAGAGAGAAGCTCCTCTCACTCTGTGCAATCCATCCCTATTTATTTACCTTCGCAGTGTTTCTATTCTATTTGAATTTGACCGTATGTTATTGTTGTTAGTTACATGAGAAGCTGCAAAAACAAGCGCCTGTCGTACTTTCAAAAACGCACATCTTTCAACTGGATTTGCTTCAAAATTAGGTTCAAAGATCTGAACCATATTGGGCTGCAGACGGAACAGCATCAGAAGGTCGTAACCAGAGCGACAGTTGTTTGTGCAGCTTCTTCCACAGACGATGCTATGAAAACACACCGATGAAATGACGATCATCAGAAAAGCTTTTATTTCATTTCACCCTTGTGTGGTGTTACGTTTTTTTATCAACAATGTTCTGTAAGTTATTTGTTTTCATTGATTTTTATCTCTCCGTGAAAATTCAACATGGCATTGTGTATTGTTTTAATTCCTCTTAATGTTTTGCTATGTTTTTGTTTTTATTTTCAAGCTAGTGTGGTGGGAAATCGGAGATGCCAAGGTAGTGGTACCATGTTTGGACTCTTATGGATTAAGCATTTGGAGCCCAGTACGTTCTTAGAGAAGTTAGAAAACGTTCATATTTCAAAAACGCTTCTTATCAATCCAAATGAAACTTATCATTCGGACAAAATACTGATGGAAGTGAATGTCTATCTTTGTTAGCCTCATCAGTCACGGACACACACATCTATCCATGCTAATATCAGGAACTTCTGGCACAAACATGTAACTCTGTTTTGATCATTTCTTAAGTGAAAGGACTGTTCTTTACAATCACATGGTTGTGGTTTGCAGCTGGTAATATTTTACCCGTGATGTAGCATAGCCTTACTAAATGAAATGGCAGGTTATTTAGTCTCATTGCCATTTGTAAAGGCTAAAATGTCTTCTTTCAATTAGTGCGTAATTGGTAGAAAAAGTAAAAGGATGATCATCAAATCTGAAATCCAGCGCGCAAGGACCAGAACTACTCCTAACGAGGACACAGGTCAACTATAGATTTATTCAACTACAATAAATGAAAAACTAGAAAGCAGGATTATATTCATCCCGTCCCTTCGTCAAAAGGTGTCTCTAAATGTGTCTTTCAGTTCTTTCATGGTATCTTTATCAGTCCCAATCTCTCTCACTTTTCAATCTCTCTTGGATTGTAGCCTCCTTTACACACGTGGGGCATCATCAACTCAGAAGAGGCAAAAACGACGAGCAAAAGTCTTTTCTCCTTCTTTACAATCTCTGTGCAAAAACATGTGTGTAAAATGAAAGTCCCGGACGAGCCCCCAATTGGTTTAAAACTATTTGCTCATAATCAATCAATCATTCAACCCTTCGTTAAAACTCATCTGTCGGTGAAGGCAGTAGCTCCGCAGACCACTTCACTTCCAAATGTATTTTCTGTCTGTGTTATTTTAGTGTGGAAGAACCTGATCCCATCAAGTTCTCAATGACTGACAGCAGCATTTTTGTATTATTTTGTTGTCGTATTGTATGTATGTTATTAATGGAGCTTTGTTATGCACACCCCACCCCCGATCCTTCCAAAATGACGTCACAAAGATAGAATTTTAAAACAAAAGCAATTCACTTTCTCCTATCGTATCCTATCTTTACTGTTCCTTCATTTAAGTTCATACCAGACTGTGAAACAATCAACTACACAGTGTGCATTTCTAGACACACACATTAGATATTGTTCCATTTGAATTCTTTGAAGCGTCTGAATCCGAAAACTGAGCTGATGTAGCCTCTTTCGGAATGGCCTGTTTGTTTAAACCAGTGCTGTCAGACCCTGTAGTAGTTTGTGCATGGAGAATGAGTGTGATGTAAGCAATGCACTTTAAAAACCTGTTTTGGTGAGATTTAGAAAAGCCGCGTTGACTTTGAGTTGTGTTTTTGTACCTCAGCAGCCTGACGGAGTTTTTTGACGTTCGAGAGATGTTTCTTTTACGCCTTTCGAACTTCACACTGTGGAATTTTCATGTTCAGGAAGGACGAGTCGAGCCAGTGTCGTGCCGGGGAGGGGCCTTTCTGAGAAATCTGCGGAAGACTAACTTGAGCCTTTGATATGATCACATTTGACTTAATGGTATTTCCAAGGACTTAATGTTATGCCCACGGCTCAGTCGGATTCCAAAAATGACAACATTCTCTCGCGTTTTTACTAATGCGGAGGGAATAGTGGCCCAATTAAAGGAAAATGGCAAGATATCTTTCTGTACATTACTCTCCTGTAAACTGGCGCCACATATTAGGCCACTAGCCATAGAATTAAGACTTGGAACCCAGCATGGAGTCAGATATTTTTTTAGAATTACTCAAAAAAGAATCAATGGCTATTTTTGGTTACGTTTTTATGATACTATTAAAGAGTTATTAGTTAAAAAAGTTTGAAATGATATGGGCCTGTTTAAAGCTGGAGTCTTAACTTTTAAGCCACACAAACTAGAACTATGGCATAAAATCCATCTGTCTAGTGCAGGGGTCTCAAACCTGTTCCAGAAAGGGCCATGTGGCTGCAGGTTTTACTTCCAACAGTTCCAAACTGAGCAGGAGCACAGATGACTCCACCCATTTCCTCAAATCTTCAGGTTAAAACTGGACTCACCTGAGGAAGTGGGTGGAGTCATCTGTGCTCCTGCTCAGTTTGGAACTGTTGGAAGTGCAGCCACATATCCCTTTCTGGAACCGGTTTGAGACCCCTGCACTAGTGTCTGAGAAAAAAGGTTAGGTCCCCCAGCTTTAAGAGGTTTGCATCGTCACGCTCTGGCTCGTCCTCTAAACATGACTGTTCCAATGTGGAGGAGACCAAAGTGCTTCTTTTCTGTAAGCCGCTGTAAATCCGAATGTATTCTCGCTTTATTCTCGTCGTGTGGAGAACTCTGAGCTGTATTTGGTTTGAGATTTGTGTCGTTCACGCATTGGTTTGTAAAGCTTTGGGGTTCTCTGGCTGGAGAATGTTTATTTGAATGTTTGAACAAGAACAAAGTTTGTGGTTATTGAACTTGTCTTTGGTGTCTGCATTTTATAATAAAAATAAAAATGGAAAAACACTTGTATTTTTTCATTTATATATTGAAATATGTAATGTGCATGCTTAATGGACTAATAAAGTCATTACAATTCCACATCTATATTTAAGAAAAACTCTTAAAACTTTTGTTCTGAAAAGGTCAAAAAAAAATGTATTTATTAAATATGACCAATTATTGCTACCCTCGGGTTTAAAAGACCCAGGGCTGGTCAAGCTAGTGAAAATGATGAGTCAAGAATTGTTATTTTTAAATAATTTTACTCAAAATGTACATAAACATTTGAATGTATGTAAACACTCTCCAATGTAAATTCACAAAGGTGATTTAATGAAAAACATTTTTCATCGCAGCTTAGTGACATCTGCAACATAAGTCTTGCTCGCCACAAGGAGGCGCTAATGGGAGCATGTCTAATGTGGAGACACGGGCTATGGCTCCAACAGAACCTGTGGCCCCTGCGGCCTGAGCTCCTGGGCCCAGTGCAAAAGTCACAGAAGCTTGTGCTTGTCTCTCACTTTGAGAAAATGTAATTTTGACCCAAATGCACTGTGGCTGCGTCATCGTCCCTCTAAGGAAGATCCTTTGCAGAGGACATGACAAATCTATAACTGCATAATCTCAGAGCTGGGCGCACTGACCATGGCCCATGTGAAAACACGTATACGCTGGGTTTTCTTTTTAAATGATTGATTTATTCAATTTTTGAGCCATAATGTAAAGTAGTTTTGAGGACACAGATAGTTTTCTTCAACACTGTTCTTCCCAGAATCAAAAAATAATTTTACAGCAGACAATGATCCCCAAGACAATGTGAAAGATTTGAAAACTTTTATTAGAACAATATAACGGTCTATTGCAATCAGTCTTCAGAGCACTCACTGAATAAATTAATATAAACTCCAAAAGAAACAAAAATCATCAAAGGTCGAGAAGTGATTTCAAAGTCAGTCACGGCAGATCATCGCAGACGACAGTCTTCCACGTTCAGCTCAGAGCTGCTCTTATCGTTCTGCAGAATATTGGATTTCATCCCTAATATTTAGATTTAGACATTAAATAAATGCATCCAATCAATATTTCAAATTGGGGGTAAAAAAAATCACTTTGAATAATAAATAGGAGAAAGTACACAGCTGTTTTGATAGATGTAGTTTGGTTATAACAGCATAAAACAAAATAAAATCAGTTTAATAATAGTATGATATGTGAAAAAGCACATTTATGATAAAATTTCTGCCGCGTCAGTTTGGTTAATAAAAGTCTATTTTGCACATAAAGTATCCATCACTCATCGTAAACATTTTTGTAATTTTTGCAATACATTTTATACAAATCTATAACCCCAAAAAAATTATAAATCTTATTTACATTCACTTTTCTTCTACTAAAAGTGAGAACTATCGACCAACCCTCTGAGCTCCAACAGATCACGACAGGAGCCTCAGGGCTCGACTCAAATGACTTGAATTCACTTCATAGTTCCGTGGAAGGACACAATAGTTATATATTATTCAACAGTAAATGTTAGCCTGAATTTAGAGTTTGTACATTTGTGAAGCTACTCCATTTCACTTTCAGAACAAATACCATTTGTCTTAATAAAGTAGAAAAGGCATGTGGACATGCTTTTATAGAACACATGGAGCAATGTGGTTGAAGGCACGTAGTTGTAAAGAACAGTTTGACTAATTCCTTAAACTAATTTGGAGGTAGTACATTTGTTTTAAAAGGCAGAAAACAGCTGTTCATGACGTGATGAGTTTAGACAGACGTTCCTGATATTCGCTCGGATGGAGCTCAAAACAATGTAACTTGTGACTCGTGTTCAACATTAACATTTCTATATTTGGTAGGAACAAAACTTTAATGTCTATGTATCTTTTCAGCCAGATTCGTAAAAGTAGAGTACCGAGGGTTAAATCATTGTTACGACCACATCGTGTATGTTGAAAATGTGCGCCAATATAAAAATGAGTGAAAGAAATAGAACTGAATTCAAGCCATTTTCAACCATGAGGAGACGATTCCTGTGGACAATGTCCTGTCAAAACGTTGGAAGTCTTTCTTTGGAAAGCATTGTGGGTAAGACACGCTGGTGTGGCTCATGGCTTTAGTGTGGCGCTGGTTCTGTTCACAGGTTGCCCTCGGCCGCACAGCCCGCTCCCACAGTGTAGCGGAACTCCTGCAGGTTGGACACTCCGTGGAAGTGGACGAAGGCTCCGGCCACCACCAGGATGTGGAAGAGCTGATGGGAGTGGAACTGCAGGACAGACACACGCTTGAGAACACACTTCTATGGTGATTAGAAAAGAACTAATCTAATGGTGCGCTGTGGCACCATGTGCAGGATTATAACAGTGCAGTGCCCTGTGGCACCATGTGCAGGATTATAACAGTGCAGTGCCCTGTGGCACCATGTGCAGGATTATAACAGTGCAGTGTGCTGTGGCACCATGTGCAGGATTATAACAGTGCAGTGTGCTGTGGCACCATGTGCAGGATTATAACAGTGCAGTGTGCTGTGGCACCATGTGCAGGATTATAACAGTGCAGTGTGCTGTGGCACCATGTGCAGGATTATAACAGTGCAGTGTGCTGTGGCACCATGTGCAGGATTATAACAGTGCAGTGTCCTGTGGCACCATGTGCAGGTCTAGATTCAGGATTTGCTTTGCAATGAATTTATCAAGAAGAAAGATTGCAAGCATGAGCAAACTTACCCAGATGTCACATTTTCCAGGGAAGAACCTCTCTGGGATGCGTGCGGCGTAAAGACAGGCTCCGGTGATGTACAGCGTGGCCATGAGGAAGAGCCAGCCCATCTGCCCGATAGTTGTGGCTTTGATCAGACCCTCGCTAATCACAAAGTGGAGAGAAGGGACCACTCCAGACAGACCCAGGCCCACGAACACACCTGCACAAACAAACATGTTCAACATTAAGGTTCACACGTCTTTATGTCAACACACAGCAGCATTTTTATAAACTACATGTGTTTAAAGCACTGTCAGTTATGTTCCAGTCTGAAGACCACTCACACACGGAACAGCGCCATATGCACTTCCACATTATAGAAGCTATACCTGATTTACTTTCTAATGAGTTCATAAAAATGCTTATTACTACATACAAGTTGTATTATAATCCGTAATTTAACTGAAAACTTGAGCTCATTGATTCAAGCTGATGAATTCAGGATGTAAAAAGTGCTTAGTAGAGACCTGGCGTGAAGCTAGCTCTCCTCCAATCACAGAACGAGGCTGCGTCCACTAGCTTCTACAGCGCTGCTAAACAAGAGCAGAATAGAGGCAGAAAGTGCCTATATACCTGCTCTGGCTGTAACTGCAGACACAGCAAAACAGCTCAAAAGACAAAACAGTGAGGAAGAGAAAAGGGAACTAAAGCGAAAAAATGATCAAAAAAGAAATCAAGCCCGGGTGAACATAGCTAGCTTACATCGTATCCTCTGGAGAGACTTGTCTATGGGAGAGACCTGCGGGACCGCCTCAGACTATCTATGCTTGGACTGCATTCGGACGCGAAACTAGCGGTTCTCTTTCAGTTATACATTTTGTTAGCAGTGCGTTGCTTTTGTACCATTTCATCAGTGATTTTTGTACAGCTTAAGTTGCGCTCATGCAACTCATTAGCAGATGTGTCAGATCGCAAATAAAACTAGATGGCTCCGTGGGATGAGAGCGTAGGGGAAATGAGAAGCCTGTCAGCGAGTTGGGGGGTGATGCTGAACATTCAAACCTTGCAGAAATGGGTATAGCTCCTTTAAGTCTGTGCTCGAGCCGTTTGCATCCATTCACACACTGGCCGTGACTGGCGTGCATCAAGAGAGAAGGCGCTCTAATCACACGTGCAAACATAACTGCTCTCCGTGGGTTTTGACAGCGCCTCCTCAAAAGAAAAAGCAGAAAGCGCCCCCGAGTCAAAGCAGACTGTTGTAAACAAGGAGTCAGCTGCAGAGGTTTTGTGTACATTTGGACCGTACCTGCGCGGACTCCTCTGTACTGCGGCGTGGCAAAGAAGTCGCACTGGGAGACAAAGATGGCCGCCAGCCCCAGCACCAGAATGACCAGCGAGTATATGAGGCAGGGCTGAGGGGAGCACCAGAAGGAGTAGTACAGCCAGGGCACGAACGAGCCCATGATGAGGAAGGCGATGCCGCTGTAGTCCAGTCTGTGAGCAGAGATTTGTACAGTGTAACTTGACTTTTAGTAAAATGAGAAATAAATCCATGATATGACATGTGAAATGGCAAAAAAAGTGTTAGATGTCATGGTTGAGATTGACTGAAGTGTGAGAACAACTGACTTGGAAAAGACTTTGGAGACACCCTCGGAGTGGCAGTACACCGTGTGGAAGAGCCAGGAGAAGGACAGGCACAGGATGGCCCCCAGGAAGAAGGTCCCGATCACCACCTTCTCCTGCACCGGAGCCACGAACGACATGTTGGGTCTGAACATGTACATGAGGCCCAGGAACAAGAAGAACAAGCAACCTGCACACAGAGAGAGACGGGATGTTAGGACCACCACAGGTCAGCCATTTAGTGAGTTTGGCCCTTTCATTATCAACATGGGCTCCTTCCATATACAGACTTAAATACACATGTCTCAATTTCAATACAGATTCAGATTCATTTATTTACCATTTGCAGTAAAACCACATTGGAAAAACTCTGCAAGACTACCCCAGTGTGCACCAGACAGAGAAGACGCTCAAGCTGTTTCACATAAACTTTAATCCATGCCAAACTTTGCTAAAAATCTCAATTTGCGTTCTAAACAACTACTCAATAAATCAAAGTGATAATTGTTATGCGTAATTATGGCGATTAAAGCTGGGGAACCCAAATTTCATTTAACTCTCAAAGCAGTTTTCACACGACTGTATTTTTGGCCATATTGTCATCGCCCCTGATGCATTTCACCAGCAGAGGGCAGCACTGACCCGATGGATGTCCGACATGAGCCAAACAACAGCCCCTTTTCACCCCGAACATTCACTCGCTTCTAAACAGCAGAGTGGAAATAGAGTTGTTTTAGACAAGGGCAGCTCTTATGAAGCAGAGCAGATTATGTAAAGATTGAGTTTTATAAGATTTTATGTAAGGAGAAAACTTGACTGTTTTGGAGACTGAACAGTACTGCAGCGTCAGTGGAGCAACTGAATCATGAAACAGTGTAATTTAGCGGAACAGCCTGTAGCTTATTGTTGATTTGGGTTTTTGTTTTTACCCAAAGATAAGATTTTGTAATTTTAATGCCATTCTTAGGTGATTTTAAAACTTCATTGATGCTGTATTTACAATTTAGGCACCACAAGAGAATAACGCGACATTACTGTAGTAAGTATTCGTGTCACAATAATTATAATGATATTAATTATGTGTCTCTTTTTGCTGAAACAATGTTTAATATGAACAAACGTTTTCATTTTCGTGACATCAATATCTTTTTTGTCTCGTCAGACATGGGCTCAACATTCACAACCGTTTGTGATCAATATCGGAGTTTATTTACAATTTATTATTATTTATTATATTTATATAATTATTTTGGCTTGGTTGGTAGGTGGTATCAAACCATTATTTTAGTAGTAGACTTGTCAATGCCTATTTTCTTTTTAAAAAACCAGCTGTAATGTAATGTATGTATGTGTGTATGTATGTGTGTGTGTGTGTGTATGTATGTATGTATGTATGTGTGTATGTGTGTATGTGTGTATGTGTGTATGTGTGTATGTGTGTGTGTGTGTGTGTGTGTGTGTGTGTGTGTGTGTGTGTGTGTGTGTGTGTGTGTGTGTGTGTGTGTGTGTGTGTGTGTGTGTGTGTGTGTGTGTGTATGTGCGTGCGTGCGTGCGTGCGTGCGTGCGTGCGTGCGTGCGTGCGTGCGTGCGTGCGTGCGTGCGTGCGTGCGTGCGTGTGCGTGCGTGCATGCATGCATGCATGTATGTATGTATGTATGTATGTATGTATGTATGTATGTATGTATGTATATATATATGTATATATGTATATATGTATATATATGTATATATGTATATATGTATATATGTATATATGTATATATGTATGTATGTATGTATGTATGTATGTATGTATGTATGTATGTATGTATATATGTATATATGTATGTATGTATGTATGTATGTATGTATGTATGTATGTATGTATGTATGTATGTATGTAGTATGTGTGTATGTATGTGTATGTAGGCCTTAATACTACTAGCCCTAGACTTGAACGTAGATCCAGGCCATTAACCCATTAAGGCCTGACCCAGCTGGTCAAACAGACCTGTAAACAGTTTAGAGTTAGTTAGAGTCACCCTCTAACACCTGAAATTTTCCTGAAAATCAACATGACAGAATGATTGATATCTCGGCCTCTGTAGCAGATAGAAACATACTTTGAGAGCTCTGACACTTGTGGATTTCCATAAGAATTAAGTGTATTATCATAAACCTTCAGTAGAATAATACAAAAAAACAACAACAATAAAACAACCAAAAATAATGTGAGACTAACAAATATTTATCAACACAATAAGTCAACAAGAATTTGGCAATGAAGTGGCACTAACTGTGTGGAAAAAAATATAAAATAAATCAACTCTCAACGCTCTTTCTTAAGTAAGTAAAATAAAAAACACAGCTGTTGTGGTTTGTTTTGTTAATTCGTTCACAACATTTTACTTTTGTGCACAAATAACATGCATTTATCAATGTGAGCAAAAATGTAGGTACCTGAGCTTTAATTCAGTGAGTTTAGGCTGCGCTTTGAGATGAGACATGGGGAAGAGACGGGGATGACGAGCAACACACGCAGGTGCAACAAGCTGGGGATGGTCCTGATCGCGCGCCTATGGTTCTGTCCATGCGTTCATGGTCCACGCTCCGTACCAGGGTTACGGCTTCGCGTTCGCTGAGCTGTTGTCAAAGCGACTGTCTGTTCGAGTACGTAACGTAAACAACAGCCCGCTGTCACACATTTCACAGAAATTATATTTTCAGCCGGACAAAGTCGCAGAAAATACTCATCCCTGGTTTATTTTGATGCATTTAATTGGTCAAGAGAATTGAACAATGAAAAAGAATTGGACCAATGAAGATAAACAAACCTGTTCGCTTTCCCGGCCTTAAAGGTAGAAATGCAGGAATGCTTTCCCGGCCTCAATGGGTTAAAGGACTTTTAGTTGATAACACCTATAACAGGATACTAACAGAGTGAGCCGGGTTCCTGCTCATACATGTAGAACCTGCTGCTGCTGTTGCATGGATGACTCAGTTTGTGTAAGTCTGTGTGTGGTCATACCGAGCAGATGTGTCCAGATGTTGCCCGTCTCTGTGTGGATCCTGAAGATGCTCTTGAAGCAGGCGCGGAACGAGGGCATGGGCGGTCTGTGCCCATGCAGCAGGAAGTCGTTGTCCTTCAGCCAGTCAGGCAGCACGTCGTGGGGGATGACTCGCCAGCGCCCCTCCCACACCTGGTGGTCAAACAGGGGAACAGCAAAGACCCCAAATGTCAGCAACATAGCAGGTCACAGTGGCTCAGATGTCGACTGTGTGTCGTCTCAGAGAAAGTAAAGCGGGAAGTGTAGTCTGGAGAGCATGTTTTCAAGTCAGGCCATTTTGTTTATGAAGAGGTCAGCACTGGTGTCAAATGAGACCAGGACTGGGAAAGACCAGGGCTTGGGGGCTTTGACAGATGGGACCAGTGTTTCATTTCAGTCATCTGCAACCTGCTGTGGTTACAAAATCATATATGAATTATTCAAATCAATCTGTCTAATGCTGTATGATACGTAGGATTGTCCTATGGGCTTTCATCTTGTTGTAATTTCATACATTAGAACTCAAATGCATCATGGTGGAAAGTATGAGTTGCAACATTTCTAGAAAAGATTGAAAAGCCTTCGGCTGGCCTTTGGCAGGCCTCCTACAGTCTGTATTATTAGGACCAGTGTTGGGGAAGTTGCTTCTAAAAAGTAACTCTTCTCGTTACTCGTTTAAAAGTAATTCATTATTTTCCCATTACTCTAAAATAAAGTAACTAATTATGTTGCTTTTGCATTATTTATGTGTTACTCTTATTATGCTGGACTTTGAGCAGAACTTTTTTAAATGTGTTGTGGGAGTTCTACTGTGAAGATCACAGATATTTCTTTCATGATCTTTATGATCAAAAATGCCACAGAGAATGTAACATTGGGTTGTTGTAGTTCATGAACACAGCTCTCACTCAGAGGAATCTGTTAAGGACCTCTCACTCTGACCCTCATATACTCGAGTACTTCAGCGTCTGTGCTAAAGGATGCTGCGTCTTCCTCCTCATGTAAAGAAAAAAAAGTCAGCCTCACTGGTGCTGCTGTGAGCGAACACTTCTCTTTGTTTATTCCCATCTGCTCTTCATCATGGCGACACTACGCAACGAACAGCACTAGCGGCTTCTTGCTTCACATACGTCACATTCCATGTGGAATGAGAACTGAGCGTGAGTCGTGCCTGATCTGCAAGCATCTGCAGATGTCACAGCTGCCCATGGTAAATAAAAAGTAACGTTGCAGTGTTACGTTACTAAATCGTGAGTAGTTAACACGTTACTTTACTTTTCCCAGTGTTACTGCTTTTTGTAGCAGTAACACTGATCACCACTTTGGACTTAATTTGGACTTAATTGTTTATTGATCATTTAATTGGCCTTCAATTTTGTTATTTAACTCCAAAACATCATTCACTAAAATGTGTTATTGTGACACATATTCCTCTGAATTGTTCAAGGACAAAATATTGGTCATACGCTCAGTCCCTCAGTTTAAATCTCAGTTATAGTGTTTGTATGGGACTTAAACAAATAAAACCAATAGCATAGTGAACTAGTGTTGCACGATATTGAAAATTAGAGTATTTTTATAACAATAACATAGCATTATTTTTGTCTTTCACCTAAAAATGCAATCTGCATAGAAGGAGAAAAATCTCTAACAAAAATTAAGCACAAAATTAAATACATTCAAATTCAGTATGGCACAAATATTACCCTCATATCTCGGCTAAATTCCATGCCAATTCCATACACACAGTATTCGCGTTTCCCTTTGACGTAGCGACTATTTTTTGGCATGACTTGCAAATAACTTGTTTTCTGTGATTGGTCCTGTCTTCTAAATTCAAAGTAGTCCCAAATTCTGGAGGTAAAGTGTCTTTTTGGAACAAGTTCCTCTCTGCAATAGTCTCTTCATCATCCTCTTGTTTGGTTTCTCTGCGTGCTCTACTCTAGCGGGCTCTACAGTGCGCGTTCAAGAAAAGCATACATGAATATATCAAAATTATTGTGCATATTTTTTATATGGATATCGCACGCACCAATATCAATATAACAATATTTTTTTGATATATCAACTTTTCATGTACAGGTACACATGCCTACATGTTACTTCAGAGCCTCACCTTGTGCACAAACTCCTCCATCTTCTCCATGGCGTGATGGGCCTGCAGCAGCGGAGTCATCCCCATGAAGCCTTCATCACCACTGGCCCTCTCCTCCTGCTCTGGCTCCTCCTCTCCTCTGTTCTCCAGCTCTGCCTTCCTCTTCTGCGCATCACTGTCCAACAAACTCTGAAATAAACAAGTGCAGAATTTTTTAAAAACAGCAGCAAAAAAATTCAGCAAGATACTGGCCAGCATTATGCATGAATGTACAGGTTTAGGGGAGAGCAGACGGCCATGTTATGTGTCTTAATTGTACTTTTGCAAGACTACAAGGAAAATGTATAAATAAGAGCAGTGCGTAACTTCAAGATCAACATAAACAATCATCAAAACTATTCTTTGCTTGAGTTACTCTCATAATGTTTTATTTACAATTTGTTGAAAGAAAGACCTGTGTGTCTGGTTATAGATTTACAAACTCAAAGTCTTGGGAAAATTGTCTCTTTAGACAATAACATGTGCCTCAATATCAATTCAATATTGAAACTAGTATTGATACGAGCCCCTCACTGATCCTCCTGCGGGTGAGTCCACAGAGCTGATGGCTGATCTGCCAGTGAAAGTGGAGCCCTGATCTTTCCGTAGGGGCTTCAGGCAAAGTGGGGTTAAGTGTCTTGCTCAAGGACGAAACAGCAGTAGCATCAGTGGGAGTCGGTGGAGAAGGTCTCATGGTGGGCTCAAACCCACAACACTCAGGCCCAAAAGCCAATGCTCTACCACACTGTTTTTCAACCTTTTTTGAGCCAAGGCAAACTTTTTTCATTGAAAAAATCTTGTGGCACACCACCGGGAGAAAATAAATAGACGTCCAGGCCTTGACATTACGCTTTGTTTAATATTTCTCAATACAATGAGTTAACAAGAGTTTGGGAATAAAGTGGCACTATCTGTGTGGAAACAAAATCAAACAGTAACTCAAAGGGCTCTTAAATCTGCAAATAATAAGACAACAACATGGCCTGTTGCGTGTTCAGTTTGATTTGATCACAACATTTTACTTTTGTGCACAAATAACATGCATTGTTAATGCATCCGAGCTTTAAATTCAGGAGTTTTGGTTGTGCTTCAGGAGGAGACACGGGAGAGACACAAGAGATGGTCCTGTGCACGAGTCCATGGTTCTGTCCACGCGCGTCTATGGTTATGGTCAGAGCGGAGGATGTGAATCCTGTTCAGAAATGGCATAATTCCTTTCCAAAAATGTCTCTATCACTTTCACGTCTCACTTGCCACAGTGCTCGCTCCCTCACGTTTGTTGGTCGCATTCAATTTTTACGTTTCTCGCCACAATGCTCCCGCTACCTGTGGTCGCATCCAATTTCTATGTTTCAAAAGTACTTAGCTATCTGCTACCACCTACTGATATGAAAAAGTATTACGTGGTTACTCCACAGTCAAAAACAAGTCAGCGCTCGTCAACATGGATGCGTTTATTTTTAGACAAAGTAGGCGAATTTCTCACGGCACACCAGACCATATCATAGGGCACACTCACTGCTCTACCAACTGAGCCACTGTCGCCCCCTAATTATCATTCAATACTACAAAATGAGCATTAAAACAAAATGCTCTAAGCTTTGAAATGGATGAAGCCACAAAACAACTCCTGGTACGGTGCTGATTGCCCATGTTCACACTATGCCGGCTGCGTCTCCTTGTTGACGTGCGAGTTGACACTTGTTTGTGTGACACTACACTTCTGTTAAATCATTCATACGGTTCAACGCCTGTCTAGTGTTTTATACAGGTAGTCACGTAAAACACACACTCAAGGTACAAGTTTCAACAATTATGCTACAGTTTTTTTTGCTGAATTTAAACTTATCTGTGTGCAATAAGAGAACAATATTATAACAAGCTCAAAAAGGTCATCCATAATAAGACGTGGGGACAAAAGATGTGAGGGGAGACTTTCACTGGACAAGAGCCAAAGCATCACACGCACTGCAGCCTCTGAGTGTGAACCTGTGTAATATGAATTGTTCCGCTCGCTCCTCTGTCCAGATGCTACGAGCCAGCCTCGCATGGACAAAGTCACGGGTTATTCCACAAGACAATGAACAACTGCATGTGAGGGAAGAGTGCACGTGAACGGTGTCCTCTGCGCCATAACGTGCTGTCCTCAGATTAGCCCCAATCATCACCCTTGTTCAACAATCATGAATCAGTTTAGAATCGGAAACAAATTACAAAAATTATTGTACGTAGTGCTGATGTCACGATTAAGATTTTCTATATACATGAAGAAATTGAAGATACAATTGGCTGTTCTTATCATTATTAGATATACATAATGAATAGGTTACAAAAGCATTAGGGATAAAGAAATAATCTTCAGTAGTGAAAAATCTAGAGATAGAAGAGGGGAATCCAAATATTTTATTATATTATTAAACAAAACATGGCTCAGTATTATTAAAAACAAGCAGATGTAAACGTAATTTCACTTTAGATAATCCCAAAACGCATTTGGAGGCAATACTTTTGTTTTAAACGGCTGAAAATATCTCTGTTCATGAGAGAATAAGTCCAAATCCAGTCTGTGAAGCATTGCAGGGAAAGTAATAATCAATGGAGCCTTAACTAAGAATTTACCATAACATTATACCACCACGTATTTATTTTTTTGAACCGTGTACTAAGAGCAGTACGGCGGAAGAGCCACACACGCTTTCAGAAAACAAATGACTTAACCAGAAGCCAATTACAGGCCTGTTCCTACTTGTTCCGTTTAAAGAAATGGGACACAGATGGAGATGAGCAGGAGCATTAGTCTCAGTGCAGTAGATTTATGAGGCTGCTCCTCCACGTGAATGAAGGCACTCTCGCTCTGCTACCCTTGAGTCTGCGAAGGTCACACCGCACTCGACCAGAGCAATGTCTTTATGATTGGGGCAATAAAGGTTACGTATTATTATACTGTACTCTTATATCTTTAGGTGGATGTATGGTTATCAGAATGCATTCTATCCAATAAATTTATCTCTGGACCATTTAATCGAACCAGATATATATAAAACCAGAGTTCAACAGCCTTGTCCTACTGGAATATTCAAGGCACAAGCTTTGACTGAACAGTTCTGGAGGAACATATGGGAGAAGGATGCAGCACATAACAGAAGTGCACAATGGCTGGTGTCCCTGAGAGAGGAGCACAGCCACCTCCCAGAACAGAACTCAGTTACCATCACAGAGGCAGACATCCGAGAAAGAGTCTCAGGTATGAAAAACTGGACAGCACCTGGCCCTGATATGGTCCATGCCTACTGGCTAAGGACACTCACATCACTCCATGAGCGCCTAGCAGCACAAATGAACCAGCTGCTGAGAGATGGGACTCACCCAGAATGGCTAACCGAAGGGCGAACGGTCCTGATCATGAAGGACCCTGTCAAGGGTGCAGTCCCCTCCAACTACCGGCCAATAACCTGTCTCTCCACAACATGGAAGCTCATGTCAGGCATCATTGCGGCTAAGATAAGTGGGCATATGGAACAATTCATGAGCACAGCACAGAAGGGCATTGGTAGGGACACCAGAGGAGCCAAACACCAGCTCCTGGTTGACAGAACAGTCGCCCAAGACTGCCGGTCACGACACACCAACCTGTGCACAGCCTGGATTGATTACCAGAAAGCCTACGACTCAATGCCACACACATGGATCATGGAATGCTTGAAGTTGTACAATATCAACAGGGCTCTAAGGGACTTCGTTGCAAACTCGATGGGAATGTGGAAGACCACCCTTGAGGCAAATGGCAAGCCGCTCGCACAAGTGACCATCAAATGTGGTATCTACCAAGGAGATGCTCTGTCCCCACTACTGTTCTGCATAGGCCTCAACCCTCTAAGCCAAGTAATTGACCAGACTGGCTATGGATACCGCCTCAGGAACGGAGCAAAGATCAGTCACCTCCTCTACATGGATGACATCAAGCTGTACGCCAAGAGCGAGAGAGACATCGACTCTCTGATCCAAACAACCAGGATCTACAGCCATGACATCGGGATGTCATTCGGGCTCGAGAAATGTAGCAGGATGGTGACTCGGAGAGGCAAGGTAGTCCACACAGAAGGGATCTCACTCCCAGAGGTAACAATAGCAGACGTTGAGGACAGTTACAAGTATCTCGGTATACCACAGGCAAATGGCAACCTCGAACAGGTGACGAGGAAAGCGGCAACTGCCAAATACCTCCAGCGAGTAAGGCAGGTCCTAAGAAGCCGGCTCAATGGCAAGAACAAGGCCCGGGCAATTAACAGCTACGCCCTGCCAGTGATCAGATACCCTGCAGGAATAATCAGGTGGCCAAAGGAAGAGATTCAGACCACGGATGTTAAAACTCGAAAGCTCCTTACCATGCATGGCGGGTTCCATCCCAAATCCAGCACCCTGAGACTGTACGTAAGCCGTAAAGAAGGAGGCCGAGGACTAGTGAGTGTGAGAGCCACTGTCCAGGACGAAACATCCAAACTCCATAACTACATCATGGAGAAGGCCAAAACGGATGACGTACTCAGTGAATGTCTCAGGCAGTGGCAAGATGAGGAGGTGCTGGAGGAGAGCCCATCATGGGAGAACAAGCCCCTACACGGCATGTACCACCGGAGCATAACAGAAGTGGCTGATCTCAAGAAGTCCTACCAATGGCTAGAAAGGGCTGGCCTACAGGACAGCACAGAGGCACTCATCATGGCTGCACAGGAACAGGCACTGAGCACCAGAGCGATAGAGGCCCAGATATACCACACCAGACAAGACCCAAGGTGTCGGTTGTGCAAAGAGGCACCTGAGACGATCCAACACATAACTGCAGGGTGCAAGATGCTGGCAGGGAAGGCCTACATGGAACGCCATAACCAAGTGGCTGGCATAGTGTACAGAAACATCTGTGGAGAGTATGGGCTGGAAACCCCAAGGTCTAAGTGGGAAACTCCTCCAAAGGTGGTGGAAAATGAGCGTGCGAAGATCCTGTGGGACTTCCAGACCGACCGAATGGTAATGGCAAACCAACCTGACATCGTGGTGGTAGACAAAGGGCAGAGGACAGCCGTGGTGGTGGACGTGGCAATTCCAAGCGATGGTAACATCCGGAAAAAAGAACATGAAAAGCTTGAGAAATA